CATCCCGTGCTCATGAATTGGAAGAATCAATATTTTCAAGCTGTCCATCTTACCCAAGGCAATCTACAGATTCAATGCAATACCCATCAAATTACCAACATCTCAGACCTGGAAACAACAATACAGAAATTCATATGGAAACAAAAAAGGGCACAAATAAAACAATCCACAGCAAAAGGAGCAAAGCAGGAGGACACTTACAGATTTTAAACTTTATTACAAGGCTACTGTAACCAAGACGGCATAGTATTGGTTCAAAAATAGGCACATAGACCAATGGAGCAGGACAGAGATTCCAGAAGCAAAAACATGGTCTCTCAACCAACTTATCTTTGTCAAAGCCACCAATAGCAATCACTGAGTGGGGAAAGCAGACCATATTTAGCAAATGGTCCTGGGAAAACTGGGTGACCATATGCAGAAGAATGAAACTGAACCTCTATCACCATATACAAAAATCAACTCAAGACGGATCAAAGACCTAACATAAAACTTCAAACTACAAGAATTCTAGAAGAAAATGTAGGAAACACCCTTATGCACATTGGAGCAGGCAACAAATTCTTTATCAAGCCCCAAAAGTGAATGCTATAAAAGCTAAGATAGACAAGCAGGAACTTATCAAACGGAAAAGCTTTTTACAAAAGAAACCATCAAGAGTGTAAAGAGACAACCCACAGAATGGGAAAGAAATATTTGCAAATTATGCATCTGACAAAGACCTAACATCTCAGATCTACAAGGAGCTCAAATAAAGTGAAAGAAAAAAAACAGCCCTGTTAAAAAGTGGGCAAAGAACCCCATTATAAAATGGGCAAAAGATATGAACAGACACTTCACAAAGGAAGACATCCGAGCAGCCAACAGACATATGAAGAAATGTTCAACCTCACTAATCATCAGGGAGATGCAAATCAAAACCATACTGAGATACCACCTAACTCCAGCCAGAATGGCAATTAACAACTCAAAAAATAACAGCTGCTGGAGAGGGTGTGGAGAAAAGGGAACACTTCTACACTGTTGGTGGGAGTGTAAACTAGTGCAACCTCTGTGGAAAGCAGTGTGGTGATTCCTAAAAGCTTTAAATATCAACCTCCCATACAACCCCGCAATCCCCCTACTGGGAATATATCCTGAAGAACTCAAATCACTCTATAAAAAAGATACCTGCACACGTATGTTTATCGCAGCATTGTTCACAATAGCAAGAACCTGGAAACAACCATGCTGCCCATCAAAAGAGGACTCGATTTTTAAAATGTGGTACATATACACGATGGAATACTACACAGCCATAAAAAAAGAACAAAATCATGAATTTCGCAGCAACCTGGATGGAACTAGAGTCTATAATACTGAGTGACCTCTCACAAAAACAAAGGTCCGAGTATCACATGTTCTCACTCATATAATGGACCTTGAACATCCAACCTAATACTATAAGAAAATGGCTGACAGTAGTGGGAAACTATGTGGGGGGGAGGGAAATGGCATTAACGGTAGCAAATATCTATCTGGGGATGGGGAAGCACCTCTTATCAATAGGGTGTCTGAATGAAACGTATTTGTATACCTAACCCTTAACTGTACCCCACAACATCATAATAAAAAATATTGATTATAAAAAAAAGTGGGCAAAGGACATGAACAGACACTTCTCAAAAGATGACATACAAGCAGACAACAGACACATGAAAAAATGCTCATCTTCATGGATCATCAGAGAAATGCAAACCAAAACTACAGTGAGATACCACCTAACTCTGGTAAGGATGGGTATCATTAACAAGTCAAAAAACAGCAGGTGCTGGTGTGGGTGCAGAGAAAAGGGAACGCTTCCTACTGTTGGTGGGAATGCAAGTAGTTCAACATCTATGGAAAACAGTGTGGCGATTCCTAAAAGAACTAGAAATTGACCTTCCATATGATCCAGCAATCCCTCTCCTGAGAATATACCCAGAGGAACATAAATCACTCTACCAAAAAGACACCTGCATACGCATATTTATTGCCACACTATTCACAATAGCAAAAACGTGGAACCAACCCTGCTGCCTATTGAAAATGGACTGGATAAAGAAAATGATGGGACATATGCATGATGAAGTATTATGCAGCCATAAAAAAGAACAAAATCATGGACTTTGCAGCAACTTGGATGAAGTTGGATACCATCATACTAAGTGAACTATCATTTAAACAAAGAATTGAATACCGCATAGTCTCATTCGTAAGAGGGTCCTGAACACCAGTCACATTAACATGAGTGGGATTGGCAGTTGCAGGGCACTACTAGTGGAGAAAGGGAGACTGGGAGGTGGGGGGGGGCACGTGACAACACAAAGGGTACCTGATCCTCTACCAGGGGGAGTGAGGGCCAGTTAGAAGCCCAAACTTCACCTCCATGCAGTCTGCTTATGTAGTTAATCCTCACTTGTACCTCACAACTCTATAATTAAAACATAAGTTTAAAAAAGATTATGTATTTTGTGTTGACCTTGTTATCTTGAATAATATCTCACAAGAGTTCTCTGAACTTCTTGTATTGCATGTCCACCTTTCTAGCAAGATTGGGAGCATTTTCCTGAATTATGTCCTCAAATATGTTTTCCAGTTTGCTTCCATTTTATTCTTCTCTCAGAAATGCCAATAAACCATATGTTTGGTGGCTTTACGAAGTTCCATATTTTTCAAAGGCTTTGTTTACTTTTTAAATTATTGTTTCTTCATTCTTATCTGACTGAATTGATTCAAAGTATTGGTCTTCAAGCTCTGAAATACTTTCTTCTGCTTGATCTATTCTGTTAAGGCTTGCAGCTGTATTTTGAGGCTCCTGAAGTGAATTCTTCTATTCCGTAAGTTCATTTCATTCTTCCTTAGAATGGCCATGTCAACTTTCAATTCTTGGATCATTTTTGTGGCTTCTTTGTTTGGGGTTTCCACTTTCTCTTGAATATTACTGAATTTCTTTTTCATACGTATTCTGGATTCTATATCTGTCATTCCAGACATTTCATTCTGGTTAGGATCTATTGCTGAGGAGCTGTTGCAGTCCTTTGGAGGTGCCTTTTTGTATTGCCAGAGTTTTGCACTGGTTACTTCTCATCTAAGGAAGCTGATGCTTCTTTATTTTTGAATTTTCATTGAGACGAGGCTTTCTGATTTATTCTTTTTTTTTTCCTTGTAAGTATGACTAGTATATCTCGTGTATTTCTATTGGCATCATTTCAGTATACAGTAGTTCAGTCTGGCTTCCAGCAGATGGCACTTAAGAGTAAAATTGGCGGGTAGGCTCATCACTCTTCACCAACTGGACATCAGTGAGGACAGGGACACGAGGAAAAGCGTGAGAAAATGCTCTCCCAACCCACTCCCCACCTTCACCCCTTGCATGCTTATGTTTTTTTGGAGGGGAACCGCTAGGGAAACCCAAGAACTGGCTTCTTTCCATGCAGCTTTCTAGACTCCAACAGGAAGAGCCACGGTTTTGTTTGCAGCTGTGTACCTGGGGAATGGGGTGGGGTATGAGAGAGAGTTCCATCTCCAAGGTTGTTCTTGGGCTTTGATGCTGCGTCCTTGGACAGCTGGTACTGCACTCATGTTTCTTTTGTCCCAAGGGGAACTTGGCAGGCTGCGTTCTCTCTCCCTTAGGGGCAGTCCACACTAGAGTCCAAGGTTCTAGGGAACCCACTACTTCCTGGGACCCACAGGACCCATTGTCCTTATCAGAGTCAGAGCAGGTTATGGGGGAAGTCTGCCAGTGATCTGATGGTACAGTGTTTGTAGGTGGATGATCACTTAGCTGGGCAGTGGACCTGCAGGTGAGCAGCCAGGTTGACACCCACCACCTGAGCCTGGGCCTGGTGCAGGGGTGTGGCATGGCTGTGCAGCTGGCCACCTGGTTCTCCATTCCCAGAAAGATCTCTGACTCCCACTGACAGTGCTGCCCTGGTTTGCATGAGCACCCAGGAGTTCCCCAACTGCTTAGCTGTCAGAAGACTGTTGGAATGATGAGAAGGACAGTGAGGCACTCCTATCTACTCCTTCTGGTTGGCTTCGAGTTCCTTGGGGGTCAGTTTCTGCTAGACTCCTGCTGCTTTCCCCTTCTCTGTGCACCCAAGCCTCCTGTGTGTGTACTCCAGTGGTTCCAGTTTTCCTTCTCTCCATCTTCTGCTGGAAACAGGCATTTGTTAGAAACTTCAGTCTTCCTTCTGAGGAGAATTGGTTTGCAATGTCCCTAGTCAGCCATCTTGAGGGAAAAAAAGATATGGCTTTTTTATGACTGAATAGTATTCTGTTACTGTGGGGGTGAAGAGAAGTTGGTTAATAGGTACAAACATACACTTAGATAGAAGAAATTACTTATAATGTTTGATAGCAAAGTGGGGGGACTATAGTTAGCAAAATGTGTATTTCAAAATTGCTAGAAGAGAGGACTCGAAATGTTCCCATCACATAGAAATGATAAATACTCAAGGCAGTTGATACACTAAATACCCCGACTTTATCATTACACATTCTGTGTATGTAACAAAATATCACATGTACCTCATAAATATGTATAAACATTGTGTATCATTTTTAAAGGCACAGGTTAGTATTGGTTTATTACTTTGTAGCCATAATAGTATAGTTACCTGTCAAGTGTTAAGAGGTAACCATGAAAGAACCAGTCAAGAAGGACATTGTAATTTGAGTTTTAAATAAAGTTTTGAAGGAGGAAGACAACCTAGGTTTAAAGAAGAGAGAACAGAGCTCTCCTGAATTGAATGGTTTGGGAGACAACAAATGAACTATAAAGACTAAGAGAACCAGAATGCTGCCAGGAATGATGAAATGCTGAGGCAATGACTTGAAATTGGGAAAGCTTTTTAATTTTTTCAAAATATTTAGGTTTAAGTGATTGCAGAATTCTATCTTTCTTCATTGTTTTCTTCCTCAGACCTCTACCCTATGAGGCACTCACTCAGCTGATAGATGAAGCAAGTGAAGGGGACATGAGCATTTCAATTCTTACACAAGTAAGTAGAATTATAAAGCCTGATCTGGTGATTGATATTTTTAAGTTTGTTTCCAATTGACCTGGAGTTACTAAAGACAACAAAATAGGCATTGTGGCACCTGGTCATAATTTTTGCCTATATTCATTTTACATGCAGGAAATAATGGTATATCTAGCCATGTATATGCGAACCCAGCCTGGCCTCTTTGCTGAAATGTTTCGACTTCGAATTGGTCTGATTATACAAGTTATGGCAACAGAACTGGCCCACTCCCTTCGATGCTCAGGTACTCAATTCAGTAACTATTTTAGGCAGAATTCACTTTTAATATAGGCCTATGGAGTTTTGGATAAGAAGGAAAGAAAACTAAATATTTGTATCCATAACTCAGAAGCTGCATATGGTAGTCTTGTTCCCATGTTAGTTAGTTACTATTTATACAAATCAAGGGGCTGATCTGATGACACATTTGTACATCAGTTCTGCAACTTTAAAACACCACCTTATCGAGGCTCTGTATTCCAAATTGTTCTGAACTAATTAACTCTTAGCTAACTTCATTTCTGCTAACTCCTCAAGTGCTCTGGAGAGTAGCTGAGTGTAACAGACTATGTTGGGTTCAGATTCAGGCAGTCGAACTTCTGGACACGAAGAATGAGTCACTATATAAGTAAATCATAGTATCAGTATTCTGTCTGGTCAACATCATGTTTGAATAAAGGAAGACAGGATTTTTATTAATATTTATCTGACAAGACTCTTTGAAATTAAATATAGGAATATTTGGCAAGATAAAAGTTTTAATTAAAAGAATAATTGAAGCCTGTGGGAGCTGAGGGGCAAAATTGTATAAGTATGAAAGGTAAAAAAAAAATGGAATCCTTATGGCATGACTCTTTTTTCCATTGGTATTCGTTTGATTTCAGTAAGAATGACAAAACAATACAGATAGAGATGGCACAGAAAAGTAAAATCACAGTTGCAAAACTCAATTTTAGTCATTCTTCTGTTAAATTTCCCCAAAAGGCCTTTAGTCAAACTGTTAACAAGTAGCTAAGTTTATTGTTTTGAGTTAAACCTAAATCAAGCACATGAGACAATTTATATTTAACCCTTTGAAGGAAGAAAACTAACAATTATTTTATATTTATCATATGCCAAGCATTGTGCTTTTAGCTTTTTATTTACATACTTTATCTCATTTAATCCTTATCACAATCCTCTGGAGAAAGTACTATTGTCCCATTTTTACCATTGAAGAAACTGAAACTCAAGGAGGTTAAATAACCTGCCTAAAGTAACATAGCTAGTAAATAGTGTGATTTGAGTCCAAATCTGTCTGGTATCAAATGATTTCTAGTTCAGCACATTGTTTAGATAAATACTATATAGTATTCTTAAGTTGTCGTATCAAGGGACATTTTATGACAGAGTATGGTTGTTAATAAACCTCAACAAAGGATAAACCTTTGAATGTTCTTCACTTTTCCTTAATTGCCTCTTGTGGATCTTGTTTTCCTGTGAATTCATCAAAACCATGGCTCTTTATTCCTTATAGGATACAGTCAAGAGCCCTGGGTCTGATATTCAAGACCCTCAACAGTCTGGGCTCTACCTACTACCCCAACAGTACTTCCCACTAATTTGATTAATCCTCATCCTTTGAGATTGATGTCTCCTGATTTCAAAAACACTTATTGCCTATACCGCTCATGTTATATGCAGTGTTTTATTGTAGTTTATCTTCCCTACGTGTTCCGTCTCTCCCAAATAGTTGGCCAGCCTCTCAACTTTAGGTACCATATCATATCTGTTTGTACTAATATTACTTAAAATGATGACCTACATTTGGTAAACTCTTAATAAGTGTCTGATGTTGATAAACAAATTCAAGTTATCCTCTCAATAGTCTTCATAATTTCATGGATTCATAAATATTCTCTTTCGTGTCTCTATCTAGACTGAGAATTTTTAATTGTTTTAGTCTATCTGTATATATACATCTATTGCCTACCTCTGAATGGCCTCCAATTTCATTGTTCTTTCATTCTTCCCATCTACAAATAAAGATTCTACTGAGTGCCCTAATGGTGTAGAAGGGGATGAAGAAGAAATCAATGACATAGCTAATCCATAAACTGATAATCAGTCCTTTAATAGTTAGGAATCTATTGCAACTCATAAGAAGGAGGGCAGGAAGTGAGGAGGAATGAAAAATTACCTATCGGGTACAATGTGCACTTGCAGAGGTGATAGGTACACTTAAAGCCCAGACTTCTTGATCACTATACAGTGCATCCACATAACCAAAAACTGTCTGTACCCCTAAAACTATTGAAAAAAAGATGAAATGAATATACATAAATGCATTTACAAATTTATGATATAACTTTTCAGTAAAGGGTTCTGAATCAACTGGAAAAAAACTAAAGACTAAAAAGGGTCTATTGCAGTATGAATACCTTAACCAGTATGGTGCTAGCAATTTATTTTGTAATTTTGTTCTTCCAGTCAAGTGACTCAGAAATTTTAGATGAGAAGGGAAGTAAAGAAAAAATAGGAAGGGTTGGCAGGCAAATTAGAAATCCTTCTGTTCTAATGTTTCTGCTAACTAGCTGAGGAAGCCACAGAGGGCCTGATGAATCTCAGTCCTTCAGCCATGAAGAGTCTCCTGCATCATATTCTCAGTGGCAAGGAGTTTGGAGTAGAACGAAGTGGTAAGAGTGACTATCTGCATTTCCATTTCAGACTGTTTGGTTTAAGGATCTCACTGGTTTTTAAAAATGTTTTTCTTTCATCAAAAGAACGATTGCCCCAAATAAATAGAACTCTAATATATAAAAGAGTGCAAAGCAAAGTTGTCTTCTGGAACAAGATTTGGAAACCACTATATGTCTTGTTCTTTTTTCCCTTAAATAATATATAAACTAAATGGATTGATTACTATCAAGTTTCATTTTTAACTGTTTTATCCATTCGCTTACACTATCCTACAGTCTAATTTAGCGCAACTAACAGCCTGAAACTTTCTTGTATTCTACTTGGCAATAATTTAGTAACACTTTACAGTATTGTATATGTGTGTAGCTGCTTACAGTACATCTAATGTATCCTTTCAATTTTAAATTCAAATACACTTAGGAGACCATCAGAAACTAACCTAAACTAAACCATCAGTGTTTTTGGTTTTAGCAGTATTTTGTGTCACATACCTAAGCAGCAGAGCAAGTGAAAAGGGGTTATCTCTCACACTCAACTTTTAGGCTTAGGATAAATAGATATATAAGGTCAGATGGATGAATGCCAGACCTTAGTATGGTGAAAGAAAGTTAGAAAGCAGTACTTCTCAAGCTAAGGATCTTGCTAAAATGCAGATGCTGATTCAGTGGGCCTGGGGTGCTTCTAAGGGAGCCACAGAGAGCCTGATGAATCTCAGTCCTTCAGCCATGAAGTCTCCTACATCATATTCTACTACATCAGATTCTACTAACAAACTCCTCAATCATGCTGATGCTGCTGGTTCATGAACAAGCAAGTTTTAAATAACAAAGCTGTAGTTTGGGTTTTTTAAGTTAAGTTGAAAATAAAGACATACGGGACTTCCAGCAAGATGGCCACAGGACAGCTTGGTCTGTGAGACCCTCCGCGAAAGAGAACACACATAAAGACTCTAGCTCTCTCCCACTGGCTGCAGCTCCAATTGTCAGCAGCCTGCTCTTCACACGGAGCTCAGTTGCCGCCACCACTCAAACATCATGGTGATCTGGGCCGCTGCCGCAGCCACAGATGCAGCCACCTCAGCCATTGCCCCACCCATACCTGAGGCGACTTACAACTTCTGACCATGAAGCCCCCGCAAGCAGGATCTACTGAGATCACCACCGCTGCTGCCACTGCCACTGCCACTGCCACTGCCACCACCATGCCATGCCCCTCGCCTGAAGTCAGGCTTGTGAAGCTCCTTCCGTGTACCAGGAGGCGGCTGCCACCACCGCAGATACCATTACCAGCTCCCTCCCATCCTGGGTGCCCTCCGACTTCCGCCCTGCCTAAAGATCAGCTGGAGCGATGAGATAGCACCACCTGCTGGGGATCCAAGGTAACAACATAAAAATGGGAAAGACAGAAACTCTTCCCCCTTGATAAATAGACAAGGCCAGATCTGAGTGATAGAGTGGGCAGGGAGCCCAGATGTGAACTGCCCTTCACAGCAGGCCAGGGGCAACTGACCCTAACTGTGAACAAATCTACCAGCCTGCAAAGACAGTTAGAAATCAGAGCTGAAAGGACACTGGACTTAAAGGAAAAGTCTCAGAGTGTGCTTGGTTTGTTCTGTTAGTTTACTGACTTTAATCTATTCCTTTTGTTTTGTTCTTTTTTTCTTTTTTCATTTTTAAATTTTTTTATTTCACTGTAAACCCCATCTTTGTATACAAGAATAGCACACCAGTAAGGAGGTTGGTTAGCTTGTACATTAGCGTCATTTCATGTTTTAGTTTTATCGTATAGTTGTGGGTTAGTTTGTTGTGGTGGTTATTGTTTTCCTTTTTATTTGTTTCAGTCTTTGTGTCTCTTTTCATTTGTTAGTCAGTATGCTCATCTGTTTTCCCTCTTACTCCTCTCTCTCTCCACCCCCTCTTCCCCCACTGCCTGCTCCATTCTCTTCACTCTGTTAACCTCATTTTGCTTTCAGGGAGTAAACCTACAACCCCAAGCATGAACAGATTCCAAGGTAGTGGGAAGTGGGTTTCAGATTATCCATACACCTGTCGGTGGATACTGGGATCTGCACATAGATTTTGAATCACAGCTCCCCCCTTAATTAAATCTCAAAACTGCAAAAAGGACAATCCCCAACCAACAATACAACTCCAGAATTGAACAAAGCAAGAGAATATACATAAATAAGAATAGGAGATTGAACAAACAGAAGTAAAAGCAACCCCTCCACCCCTGAATAACAGAATTAAAAAAGATGGGGAAGTGGAGGGAAGGCAAAAGTAGGAGGGTGAAATCTGCACAAATGAAGAAAAACCAAAGAAGAATATAGGTCTCACACAGACCCCTGGGAGGTCAGACACTGAGAAAACAGACTTCAGAACACAAACAATGACGACCCCCAGAATGACTGGTCACATGCAACAAACCCAGACATCAAGACATTAATAGAGAGAATTTTAAAAATTGAGGAGATACAAGAAGAAAATAGGAAGGAACTGATGACCGAAAGCAGTAACGAATACTGTGATGGAAATAAATAGCAAACTAATAAGCATGGAAAGCAGAATTAGCCAAGCAGAAGAAAGAATCTCAGAACTTGAAGACCAAAATGCAGAACTAACCCAAACTGTCAAAAACATAGAAAAGAAGCTTTAAAAGACAGAACAAAACCTTCAAGAGATGAATAATTGCTTCAAGAGACCCAACCTAAGAGTAATTGGTCTTCCTGAGGCAGAGAGACAAAGGCCATACTGGAACAAACATTTCATGAAATCATTCAAGAAAACTTCCCTCGTCTCATCAGTGATGCAAAATTCAAACACAAGAGATTCAGAGAACCTCAGGAAGACAAAAAATGAGAAGAATAACTCCCAGACACATAATAATTCACCTAAACAAAGTAGGTATAAAAGAAAAAATCCTAAAGGAAGCAAGAGAAAAAGATCAGACTGCCTACCAGGAAAGACCAATTAGAATAGCAGCAGATTTATCTACAGAAACCCTCGAGGCTAGGAGAGCTTGGAGCCCTATCTTCAAAGTTCTGAAAGATCAGGAATTTCAACCAAGAATAACCTACCCAGCCAAGCTAAGCTTCATCAGTGAGGAAGAATTGAAATCTTTCCCAGATATCCAATCCCTAAGAACCTACACTGCCACCAGACCACCTCTACAGAACACTTAAGAAAGTACTGAACACAGAGAAAAGGAAAAAGAACAACAATGTTCTTCACA